CCGTAACTCATAACACTACTACAACAAATTTTCACTCTAAAAATAGCTAAGACCAAATAACAGCATTGGTATATATGAAGAAGAAGATTTTACAAAAGATATTCGCAATGACCAAAAAAAAAAGATATGTTAGCAATATTTTATAAACATGATTTATGATTCATTCAAGGGTTAAGCATTGCTTCAACATTAGTTTAATTACTATTGTTTATTATATTTTCGAAAATTTTATTTAGCTTTAATAATTCTATACGTTAAAACGAAATCATATGTAGGTTCAGTATGAGGCAATTTTGTTATTATGAAACATATTTTTGTTGAAGAAAATCAAATGGGTTAGAATGAATTATCTTTAAGTATATAATCATATTCGTTAAGTCCTTATAGATAAGTCAATATATAGAATAAAGCTACAACTACTTCAAATTTTATTATATTTGGTGCAATTCGAATACTTACTTCCTACATGACGGTACATTCATCAAACAACACAACAACAAAAATATGAAAAACGAAAGGAAAGGAAACACATTTATGTATTTTTGTTATTAAAGCTAATTACATAAGGCACACCATTACATGTATCTAGTTCCAGAATAGTGCTAGTAGGTTACAGGACCGCTAGGTAAATAGTTAGAAATGAAACACGCCGACTTGGGTGGTGTAGCGGTTACAAATGTATACCACTAATACCTAAATACAGCAACCTCTTTTCGGACTAACCTTAAATTTTTTTTTTTTTCAATGACCAGAATAATAGCAAATCTTAAAGCATATTTCGGTTATAAAAAAGTTAATATCATTTTTATTCTTCTGAGTCCGCTTAAAACTTTTAGGCCATGAGAGGCAAATTTTGGTGTAGAAAACGTGATAAGCCTGCGCAGGCGTATATTAATTACTGGGCAGAACTTAAGTAGAATTCCCCTTGAAATACATATCATTTCAGTATTTAATTAACTAATTTTCTTCAACAATATCTATCGATGCTCATTTGTCGGAACGGCCGATATCGGACCACTATAGCATATAGCTGCCATACAAACTGAACAATCGGAAGCAAGGCCTTGTATGGGAAACTTTTTTATTTGACGTAATATCTTCACGAAATTTGGTAACAATGAAATTCCCGAAGAAAATGTTTTGATCGGACTATAGCATATAGCTGCCAAACAAACTGAACGATCGGAATCCAGTGCTTGTATTTCCATACATACTCTTTCATTTGACGAGGTATCTTCACGAAGTTTGGCACAGAATATTATTTAAAGCAATAGTGCAAGCTCCGAAGAAATTTTACAGATCGGATGACTATAACATATAGCTGCCATAATAACTGAACGAGCGGAGTAAAGTGCTTGCATGGAAAACTTTTTCATTTGACGAGGTATCTTCACGAAATTTGGCATGAGTTATTTTCTAAAGCAAGAATATAATCTCCGAAAAAATTGTTTAGATCGGATCGCTATGTCATATAGCTATCATATAAACTGAACGATCGGAGTAAAGTGCCTGCATGGAAAAAAAAATTATTTTTTATTGCCGATTCACGAAATTAGATCTGAATCAAGTTATTGGAAGGAATCTTTGTATCTGTAAAGGGTATTATAGCTTCGGTGCAACCGAAGTTAACGTTTTTTCTTGTTTTATTTACTTTTTTTCTTATTTTAATAGGTATTTCCTTAATCTCAAAACTACGTCAAAGCAATTAAAAGTTTTTTCTTTAAAACACATAACTTCACTTTTTATCAAATAAGATTACAGTAAATTGTTCCAAATATTTGCATAATAAAGGGTTGACAGGACAATCAAACCAGAGAACGTAAATGGACGTTCTTCTAAGTTCTCTGATTAAATAACATTAATTGGTAGCCACATTTTAGTAACTTCAACAGTTTGAGTGTCACTGCTTATTTGCTAAGAAGTTTCTAGAGTGGAGTTTGTTAAGCCCAATAAAAAAGCATAGAACATGACCATTTTCACAAAAGCTTGAAAGATTTACCGTTCAAGTTGAGAAAGAAGCGCAGAAAGCTTAAAGCACAACAAACTAAAGTTTTTTTGCTCACATTTGGCAAAGGAGTCTCATATACATACATAATTCGTAATTCAGCAAATCAAATGTGTAATTTCTGATTGAGTAGCACTTACTGAATGTTGGTGATATATTGATCTAGTTTGCTTTAGATGCGATTATCGCAACGGCAGTTCCGTTGCCGTTTCTGTGAAGTCAGTCAAACTTGCTTTTGAGCTTTCGTAGGAGGCTGGTAGCAGCCATATACTACACTTGAACACTTGGCAAATAAACCAAAGCTTAACACTGCATTCATATTTATTTCACTTATTTGAACATAGGCCCACATATATTTTCTATATTCATACTAAAAACTATTATCTTTGCATACAATTAACAATTTCCTTCAATTGCAACACACGTGCCGCGAAAGCATATTCGGAACTGATTAAATGGAGCCGGAACTTTTTGAATCACAGTGTTGCACTTTATTCGCGAAAGTGGGAGCTGTGGTCTGCATTGTAATTACCTAATACGTAGATAATTATTATACCTAATTATTTATATAACTTATCTTAACTTTAAATCTAATTATTCTTGCTAATTATAAAATAACTTATTGTTAAAATTTATCAAGCTGATAGAAAATTATTTAAGTTCTATTTGTACTGGTTCAGTTTTTTGAAAAAAAGTATTATACTTTTAAATATTTTATACTAAATTTAAGTGTAAGTTTATTATTTATAACAAAAATTATGAAATATTTAACAAAATAATATTTTCATCAACTGCTTTTGAATACTCCATTTAAGATTTATGCGCAAAAAATGTAACCCTGCGTATTTTAAAAGTTCCGGCGCCAAAAGTTCTGCGCTGGTCAGTTCCGAACGTTTACTCGCTTCGCGTATATTGTGATTCGCTAAATGTGCGAATATTGTGTAAAATATATATTATATTTTGGGGCAAAATCTTCATTGGTGTTACTTCTAATATGCCGTTAAGTGAAATACAACTCGCAGCAAACAAAAACCNCCAATTTAAGTTTTTGTTAAAAAGTTCCATAGTTTTAGCTTCTAAGCTTTATTTACGAATTGCAGCTATTATGTCCTATTGGAAAATACCATAATTGACTTCCACATTTTATATGAAATAGCTTGCATATTTTAAACTGAAACTTTTTGTTGTAATATTTGCAGTTTTATGTTGTTTGTTTATGTCGCTCGCACTGTGCGGAAGTGGTTGCAAATGATTGACATGTTTAAAGCAATAAGCAATAATAAAACAATAGCGAATATAATTAACACAATATCGAATATGCATAAAATAAGTTATGGAAATATATTTTTTTAAAGAAATTCAATTTAGTTAGTGATTTACAATATATTAGGAACGCCCTCAGCACACATTTTTTATAATATGATGCTAACTTTTTGTTTAAGTTTGCCACGAAGTTTGTAGCACCCAAAAGGAAGCCTGTTTTAGTCGGAGACCCTATAAAATATATATATATAGGTATGTAAATGATCAGCATGGGGAGCTATGTCGATTTAGCCATATCCGTCTATTTGTCTGTCTGTATATACGTGAACTAGTACTTTAGTTTTTGAGAAATCGATCTGAAATTTTGTCGTAACCGCCGATATCGGACCACTATAGCATATAGCTGCCATACAAATTGCACGATCGGAATCTATTGCTTGTATGGATAACTTTTGTATTTGACAAGATTTCTTCACGAAATTTTGCATAGGTTATTGTCTAAGGCAAAGGTGAAATCTCCAGAGATCGGATTACTATAGCATATGGTTGCCATACAAACTGACCGATCAAAATCAAGTTCTTGTAAGACATTTTTTGTATTTGTTGTAAGAGTATTATAGCTTGCAACCGAAAATAACCTTTTTTTATTCTATAGCGTCAATATTTGTATTTTTTGGGTAAAAAAATGGGTACAAGCAGGGATGTAAATAATACTTAAAAAAAAGAATTGTATTATCACTGGAATAACATTTTTTAAAATTTATTTTGTAGTCCCAAAAAAATTGAAAAATTAAACCAATATTTTAATCCCACATAACGTATTAAAGAAAATAAAATTTAATTTTAAACCGGGTTAAAAATGTATTTTTAAGTTGTAGCACCTATCTTAACATCGGAACTAAAAAATAAAAATTTAATTTTTAAACAAAAATTGTTTAATTAAAACACTAGTGTACCTAGTGGTTGAGCAGCAGGTTTTGAAATGATGTATTTAAAAGACAATTGAATTTACATTCAAAATTTTTATTTTATTTTCTAAATTCGAAAATTTTTATCAAAAATAATTTTCAAATTTCTAATCTTAAATACCGCATTAAAAAATTAAAAGTAAATGTTCAAAAAATTGGACTAAAAATTATCATTTTAATCTTAAATACCGGATTGAAAAAAAATTTAATCCCATGTTCACAATAAAAAATAAAAAAAAACCGTGCTTTTGAAAACGCAGACGCGAGCGTACTTCGTGGTCTACCAGTTTTGCTATCTTTTGACTTTTCGTCTTATTTATATTTCATTACTTTTGATTATAGTTCTTTACCAAGAAATGTTTCCGTTTAATTCTTTTTCATTCCAGCTTTTGATATGAAAAATTATGTTTTTATTTGTTACACCAACTATTGAATCAAAACATATTTTATCAATCTTTAATACTGATTTTGGGATTTAAAATAAAATTTCTAGTTTTTAATTCTGATATTTTATCCGAATTTTTCAATTAAAAAATTCGCAAGTCTTTAAAACCAGTGCCAATCAATAGCTCTAAATTTGTGGAATCCGTTAAGTATTCATCTGATTCTATCTATTAAGACTTATTTACCAAATTTTAATCTGTGTGTGATTATTTCTACCTGCCAAAATTTACATTTCCTCACCCACTTTGTGGTCTAAAGGTATATCTTCTGAAACTAGACAAGTATAATGGTGTCGAATTCGTTTCGTCGAGTTTACTTACCACAATTGCACTAAACAAGGTACGATCGTAGATGCGTTCGAATTCATCTTTAATAGTACCCAAATCGATTTCCGAACGACTGACAATTAAACGTATGAGCGCAGCATCATTTGTTCCGGCTCCATTCATTGCTTTGTAGAGGCGATTGGCAAAAAAGGCGGCCGGTGACTGAACACACTCGACTGCATAAGCACATATGTATGAAAAAAAGTTAAACCGGAAGTCAAGAAATTAATAGATACAACTATATATACATATATGTATGTAAATACATAACGGTAGTGCGTAAATACCTATTATTATTTGAACAATTTTCTGCCACAGTTTGTAATATCGCGATGAAAGTTTATGTTTTGAACTCGTTTCAGTTTTCATAGGATATTCCGAACACAAACACTTCTCTTAAATAATTAATCACTACGAATTGCGAACAAAACTCATATGCAATACCTTCGCTTTTCACATTATTAACACTTACTAGCTGTTAAGGACCACCCTTATATATTTACATACATACATACATACTGTATATAATTTGAAATAAAAATGTGAATCATTAATGAAAACTGCAAGCAAAATGCTTCCACTTACCAATAGCAATCATTGCATCGTGTAACGCGCCATCCATCTCATGCTTGATTGCCTGCTCAATAGTCTGTCCGGAAAGCTCTTTGTATTCATCGAAGATGAGCCGCAATTGCGCGAAACTGCTGTGCGACATAATGCGATTGAATACTTCTTCATCGGTGCCGAGCTTCTCTTCACCAGCCGCATATAAAGCTTCGGCATCTTCGTGCGCTTTTGTGGCATCAACAGTTCCAATGGGATCGCGTACGCCTGTTACAATCAAGGTCAACAGACGTCGAAAATGTCCCGAAGTTTCACTACACATTTGCTCCGCCAGCGGCCGATCATATTTCGCCTCATAAGCTCCGACAATTTCCTGCATTTCTTCATTCGTTTTAGTACACAGTATTTCGTCAAGTGTCTCCTCGTCGGTGCCCATGCCGGCCATAGCTTCGTGCAATTGCTTGCATAAATACTCCACGGGCGGTGTCATTAAAGCCACAATCACATCTTCAAATTTACCACCCAATTCGCTCTTCAAGTCATCGACTAAGTCACGCCCGAATTCCGTTTCGAATTGCGCCTTAATTTGTTGCCGTTGTGCATTGGAGCGCGCAGTGAGCAGGTTGATGATTTCCTCCTCGTCCGTACCGAAACCTTTCATGGCGGCACGCAGTGCCTGTGCATCCGCAGCGGCGTCAAATGAGGCGGCGGGCACCACAGTGGGAGTTGGCTAATAAGAGCGTTGTAATTTTTGATGACGCATCGCGCGGAATGTGGACGAATAGATTTGGGTATAAAATCAATATGCCAAACGAACGGTGTCTACAAATATTTTCATATTTACTTACTTTGTAATCCATTTTATTGCTGGAATGTCTTTAAATTGCTCTAATTTATATCAAATTTGAATAATATGAGGTTTCAACAGAATTATACTTTCTTTAAACTCTTGACACTTGTTTACTTCTCAAAAGCCATTAAACGACTGAATATCGGCTACACTCATTTAACTGGTCGTACGTTGAATGGAAGCTCGCGCTCAGTGACATGTATGCATGTAAGTATGTATGTACTCTAGTGTATATTGTTGTTAGGAATGCAATAATTACGCCTCGCCTCTAAGATAGTCGACTCATCACGCTTGCTTTATTTGTGGCCCCCCGTATGGCAGGTAAGTATGTACGAAAGTTTTTGTATTAATTTGGGTTGAGCGCTTATTTCATAAATATACTACGAGTATATTAACATTTTCTGTATTTAATCGCCGCTGGCACGCAACGAAGAATACCAATGACTTTAAGTTAGATAATATTTTACTTCCAATTCGAATAACTGTAAATGGACAAACCTTTCTATGTCCAAAATTCACTCGAGGCTGGACCTTAACTTCTTTTGCTTTATTATCTTATTAAAACATATGTATATTTGGCAAATCTTTAAATTTTCATCAAACGAATTTACGGTTAACTATCTAGTCAGAGAACGATATTCTCACAGAATGTAAGAATCTCTATAGAAACCCATTTTTTTATAATTTGCTTTGAATCCAATGAACCAAAGGGTGCCACAAAATGGTCTGAACTTGGTATGGATTAGGGCAGCAACCGGTAAAGGGGAGCTGTTCCATACAAATTCGTAATTATGAACTCGTTTCGGGTCCTCTATAACCTAGATATATGATAGTCTCACACATAATGATGGTAATACTAACTCTGATACTAACTGATTGTGGCCTGTACCAAGGACAGCATGGAATAATGTGAATATTTTCTTAATCCATTCGAGTTATATTGGGAATTACTCAACCTAACTAATATTGTTAAATACTAGTGAGGAGACAACAATATTTCTGTTTCTAAACTTAACCACTTTTTAAACTTGGTTTCTGAGATCCTTAAACACATGTTATAATGAAATCGCTCCTGAAATTGATATGCAACAAAAGTCCTAGAGCGAGATTATCGAACTTCCATGTAAGAGTAGACGCTGAATGTGACTTTTGTCTCTATTCATTTTAAAATAGTTTAAAAATAACATACTGATTTCAAATCGATATCTCAAATAGTTTTTGAGTTACAGCCATTTAAAAGGTGGCCGCTCAGTTTAATCTGCGCAATCAGTTAGTCTTTAAATGCTTTTTTCGAATTTGCTGCAGTGAAATCTCGAAGACAAATAATCTGATCATCATGTTTTCTTCTGTTTGTTCTGTATACAATATAATTCTATCGGTTTTTTGTTCCAACCAATTTTGGCAAGACAAAAATTATCAAAATTTGGGGTAAAATAATTTTTCTTTTTTAAACGCCGCCAATTTGTCATTCCTGAGTAGCCCAAAAGCACTGCAGCAGTGGAGGGTCTTTTTATTCAGCGCCGTCGGAGATCTCGTATAATGTTTAATTGTTTGTTTTTTCGAAAATTTCACTGCATATTCTTGAAAAATGTATAAATATTCCCTGAACATTTAAAAACAATCACTAGATTAGTTTTTATTCTGTCACATTAGGTGTGCCCATTATTATTTTTCGAATATTGTCAAATACCAGTTTTCATTAAAGCGGAAAAAAGTCAAAACCGTATATCAAGTCATAGGAAATCATGACGAGAGTGAAATTTAACCTCTATTTCATATTTAATTTAAAATTTAACCACCATTGCGTATCTATTGTAACACGTTATAGTTGCCATTCGACAAGCGTATACCAAAATATGCATTTCGAGTGCATATCAACTACTTACCGCATATTGAGTCGCCAGTCCCCATTTTGTGCATATTATCGATCACTATCAATCCTGCTTTAGTACGCAGAAATGTCAAAAAAATGAAACTAATCTGGCACAATTGTCTACACTGTTTTATTTATTTAGAAACGTTCCTAACTGATGAATTTAATTAAATTGATCTTCAAGAAAAGGTTGCTTTTTAAACACCTTATGCATTTTTCAGGCATTACATTATCAGTTGATGCATTAATATAATAACCCAACGATTACCCTCCTCCCGCCCAACCGACGCCAGGGGCGCAATCCGCATACGTGCGGAATTAGCCGAGTCAGAAAAGCCAAGCGAGTTTTTTAAGTGTTGAGATCTAAAACTGCTCAGTCGAATTAATATTTGTATATTACAATAAATAATTATAATAATTGTTTTTCATTCCTATAAATTGGTTGTTAGTAAATAAATATTAAACTTTAAAAATTTCAATATTATTCAAAATGAAATCAGAGTCAACGCATAGTAATTTAGTAATTTCAGCGCCGACGTAGAAATTATTTCAAGTCTACTAAATCTAACTTTTTAAAATTTTAATGAATGTCAGTATTTTCCATTTCTTTATGTTTCATTATATGATTTCTGTCACAAATTTGAGCAATGCTGCCAAATACTGTAAACGGTGTTTCCCAAAAATATAAACTCAGAAATTGCTATCTGCGTTTTCAATAGCCATCCCTAAAGCAAAATTCTGTTATAATATTCAACGCAAATTTACCAGCAACTATATTCCAGTAGACCATCGCATGATTGCTTAATAAGCCGATTTCTATTCAGTGGACAGTGGTCTTAAGCTTAATCCGTAAGAACATCTTTAAAGCATAGTTGGATCGACACTTGATTGTTTGAGGTGTGGACTTGAGCATGAGATGTGAGAGAATATATTCTAAAAATATTTCTAGGCCGTAGAGGTGTAGTGGTGTGTCATATATTAGATTTTCATATTAGGCTTAAGACTTGCCGGACCGCCCTCCTGCTAATGGGAGGAGACGCTCGAATGAGTATAAGTATAGGTTCATTAAATAAATGAAGTTTAGCTTTAATTTGGTAATTCCCACAACCACAGTTTTGCCGCAATTCCCACAGCGGATCAGCTAGTTCTTCGCTTTGAAAATTAAAATCAATATCGAACAGACAGTTCTCTTTTTGAAAGAAATTTTTTTTGCTTTCACCAGATGTTCCACCTTTGGCTCTATCTGCTGAGCTGAACTTAAAGCTTCATTTTTCAACTCAAAATAATCAGCTAAGACTTCTTTAGCCGAAAATGTGACTACCACTTATTTTTTTGAGCCTTTACTGTGCAACAGACAACTATAACCACGGCTTTCCTATTATTCGCTCCTACGAATCCAATCTTCTTCAGTACCAAATTAACGATAATATTTCTTAAATAATAGGCAAGGAAGTAACGACTGGATAACAACCACTGGCATATGGAGAAAAACCCAAGACATCTAGGATATATAAGTAAAGTATGACTCTTGTAGATGAGTTGAAAAAGTGTCAAATCAGCCAGCGCACCAAACTACGTGGGCGGCGTTCTCCTAATTCATATGTACAGATAATGATTTTGTAAGTAGTTGACCTCAGACAAGGCTACAAGCAAATATTTGGCAAAAGTGATAGAGAACATAGCACAGCCATCAACTCTATTTTTGCGAATTGGACACTGGATGTTTGAACACCGATGACCAGATATACTGTATAACATGAAGTACCCACTATGTATATTTTGAATTCGTAACTTGATTTGGTTGACAGACCAATCGGAATTAAGTCCGATGTATGAAAAATTTGTAATTTAACGAGATAAAATATGGCATGGATTATTCTCCGAAGTATTCGTATAATCTCCGTAGAAATTGTTCAGATCGGACCACTATATCGTATATCTGCTATACAAACTAATCGGCAACAATCAAGTTCTTGTATGGACTTTTTTTTTATTTGTGAAGGGTATTAGAACTTCGGTACAAGTTTTGAAAACCAAATAGTTAGGTTAAACTATTAAATAGGATTAGATGTAGTTTTTTTGCAACATCCTTAGGTCAATCAGTTTTACACTAAACGCTTATACTTTAGTTTTAAGGCATAAATCATATCATTTAGTAGCAATGTATCCTGACAATTCATTTATCGGTTGTGTCAGAACTGATTTCAAATTTGTTAGATATTTCTCTCTCATTGGAGAGCATTGAAGTGCATCCATGATCAATAGGCATAGGCATAGCTGATGGTGTAAACCCATTGACTGCCTTAGGATACAAACCACCTTTAAATGTAGCATAAAGCACTGATTCGTAGATGGGTAGGTCAGCATATGTCAAAATCCACGCACCATTCTAATCTTAATTTGGAATCATTTCCCATTGTTTTTTTTTTGGTTTAAAAAAAATTGACATGTATAACTCGCGTTAGGTGATTTCAACGTCAAAACTTACTGAATATTCTGATTAGGAATAAGTACTCGCAACAACAAAAAATAGGAGTGGAGTAAATAAAATCATTAATTTTCGGCATAAATTTTCTTGATTTATATTTATATATAGTTTTTCAATAAATCTTTATACTTTATATATACGTAAATATTCATATTAGTTTTACTTTAGTATTTATTTGCGCTCACTTTCTTAAGCTGCCTATAAAACATTCTCTCTTTCCTGCTTTTAGTTCAGTATTGTTTTGAAAACGAAGAATTTTTAATTAAATAAATACATATAAAACGCTGCATAAAATTTTGAAAAAATTTATAAGTGGATAATACTACTAAAGAACAATTTTATTGAAAAATAATAAGAAAATTTAAATTAATTAATACTTAATACTCAAGCACTTCTTACTTAAAAACAAGCGCGAGCATTTTACATTAAAAAAGCATTAAATGTTTTTAATTTTTTTTTGTTTGTAAAAATCTTTTAACTTAGTGTTGTATGTAGATACAGAGGAATAGATACAAATTATATGTGCACAATTCATTAAATGAATTTTTCAAGACCTTTCCTTTGACAACACAGATAATATTTCTGTTGTTTCACATACATATTAAGTCGCCATAATAGTAAGGTATCAATTAAGTCTTTTTTTAATCAATATATTTAGCATAATTCCACGCAATTGTGAATGCATTTTTTGTTTTGCTTTGTTTTGACTTAAACATCATCGCTTTGATTCATTTTGAGCTCATTGAGTGTCGCATTGAAACGCGACCATTCATCACGTGACGGCTGCGCCAAATGGTCAGTGACATCGTAAACATACAGTTTGCCTGTATCATCGCCGATGGTCACATGCAGCCCAGACGGTGTCCACGATACACGATTAAGTGCTGGCGCACCACCAACCATAACAGATGCTGTGGGTACTTCAGTATCTTGATTTAGATTCCATAAATCAAGACGACCGCTACCATCGACAGCAGCAAACAGTGCGGGATGAATGGGCGACCATGCGACATCCATGACATAGTCTGAATTATCCTCGAATGAGTATAAGGGTTTAGTGTCCTGAAAATTAAAAGGTGTTCATGCTATTATTTTTAGAAAGAAAGGGATAATATTGCATCAGACCTTCATAGACCAGAGTTTAATAGTCCAATCGATGGAGGAAGTTAGGAAGAGATGTCCAAAGTCAGGCGACGATTGGTTGTAGTGCGTGGAGATTCCTGTTACCGGCCCCAGGTGTTTTTCGAAGACTTCATTTACGCCAGTGCGCGAACCATGACGACAAGCTGGTGGGGAAGAAGAAAATTAGAAACATTTAAAGTAAAAAACAAATTATAAAAATACTAAAATATTTCTGTGCATACTGGATGACGACAGCATTATCAAAAACTAATTGGGGAACTGTTTCATGACATTGGGGTCTGCGTGACCAGAATGAAACCGGTTTTACCACCAGATTTAGCAACCAAAGACTGACACCATTAGCAGTATTCCAGAACACTTTCAGAAATATTTTGTGTTGTATCAAGGACAGCTATTTTGGTATTTTTTTATGCTACAACAACAAAAAAGTGAATTAGACTGGGTTTACACACGGATTCATTGCGTTCACACGTGCAACTCGAGTCGGACAATTTATACTCAAATTCTCATAAACTTCATGTACGGTTTTCTCCAAATAAGTGCTCTGAAAATTATTATAACAAAAAATCTTATAGAATTTACTGACAAGAGCAAGCTTTCATAATTCAAATTTGTCAGCCATTTTCGGGAGACCTAGAACATGGGGAATTCTCCATATCTGAATAAAAGCAAAAATCTTAAATCCTTAAAATCTGTAAGATTAGATGCAATAATAAAAATATCATCTTTCTCACCTGAGTACACATAACCATCCTCACTGCCCATCACCAAATTGTTAATCTCATTCGCCGGAAATGCCATACAAGTGACTGCAATCGATTTCGACGGACGTTGCTGTTGCAACTCCAAAGTGTCCTGTGGATGCGATAACATATCCAAACTCCAAGAGCACAGCTTGCCATCCGAAGAGATAGAGATGACATTGTGAGCATTTTGTGTGCCAACAACTTGCAGGCAATAGACTGGATGTGTATGTGCGGCGGCGCTTAGTGGTGTTCGTTGCATGGGTGTGCGTTTTTGCACACGATTATCCCAAAGCACTATCTGACCCGAGTATGTACCGCCTAATATTAAATTGGGATTGAATTTAGCAAAACATGTTGACATCACAGCGCTTTGACAGTGGAAAATATCTTCAGGTGTATGCTTCTTGTATTTTGTATTCCACACCATAACAACACCGTCGGGTTCGTTGGGGCTCTCCTCGTTGTTGTGATACGAGGCGGCTACCAATTCAGGGAAGTGTGTTGACCAATCCATGCAGGTGATGCAACGATTCTTCGACCAACGTTCGTCGTAGAAAACCCGATTCAATGACAATCGTGCGTGTGTTTTTTCGTCGTTCGTATCCTCATTGTCGCCGGCGCCAATGTAATCCGTGTAAATGTCAACACTTTCGGAGAGTGCGCGCTCAACGATGCGTCCGGCGCGTAGCATGAAATGTTGGAATTCATCGGTAAGTATGATCATCTGCTTTTGCTCCTCAGAAAGTTCCTTAACTGTAAAGCATATATAAATATGAAATAACTTTATAGTGCTTTTATAGGCATCTCTACTCACTCTCCTTTTTCTCCTCCTGCTCTTTCTTTTGCTCCAGCGGTGTTATGGCCGGTGCTACATCTTTCACCGTTGGCAGACCGTGCGTCAAATAGCCGGGTGGCAACTTCGAAGTGAAACCGTGCTCCAGATGTGGTAGAGAACTCTCTTCGTCATCTCCTTGGGCATCAAATGCAAGCACTGTTTAATGTACAAAACTAACACAGCTAGAGGAACATGACAATCGACAGAACAGGAACAATTCTACTTTCTTGCTTATTTGTAGCACAATTCTTTATTGGCTTTGTTTCGTTTTCATTTCTTTTAGACGCGCCTTATTTGTTATATGCAAAAAGATTTAGTGCGTTTAAGTTTTCTCACTTTCAAATTGATATATATGTATACAATTGGCTTTTCTGCACAGCATGAATTTTAGTGTTTTTTTTTGGTTTTACAATTTTGCAAGTAATTTTGGCTGATTTTGCTTGACTGTGTGTAGAAAATAGCAATTTGGTGCGCATTGTGAGTTTGTGTTATAGACATACATATTATATTACATAAGTGGATTAGATTATTTACATTTATTCCTCAATTCTATTTTATTTGAAATACTGAAACGCTGTGTTATTTGAAGTAGTGGCATGACCTCAACATATTTCTTTCGAACTATTTAGAACTATAGTATCGCCTTGCAATAATGGTGAATGGAAAGTTAAAAAAAAAATTATATATTTTGAAAATATGGCAAGGAAAGTGCTTACTAAAAAAAAGGAAATCATAAAAAATTCAAAAATTTGTATTTGGAATGTTGAGACATTTTAAATGATGTTATACTTTTATACTTTCGCCGGTGTATAGAAGTATTTTTTAAAAATATATATGAGATTATTTTTCTAACCTCCAAAAGTGTGCATTGAATAGTCATTTCTGTATAATATTAAGACTTGTAATACGCTCTAAATTTTTTTTTGTTTTGTAGTTACACAAAATTATTTGACTTGATTTTATGTGAAACAAGAGTCATGTTATTGTTATTAAAAATTAAAATAATTTTATTACGAATCAAATTACAATGCAATTATTAGAAAAATATAGCGAATTAAAATATACATAATTGACTTTTTTGTTTTTAATTGGTCGATGAAGTAGCTGTCGAATTAGTCGAAGTACCAGAGTGAATTTGGATAACGAATATGAATTGAACTATGACATAGTAAAATTTTTAATTTATGGTGCTTCTGGTGGAAAAAACTAAAGTTCTAAGCGAAAGCTGATTTGCAGCTAAATGCTTAAATCAGGTATACCTAGATTTGTCTAACTTTATCAATATTTTAAAATGCTTAGAAAATGTCTTAACTGATGAAAGAGTTGGGAGCAATAAATGCATATTAGGTTCTGGTGAAAATCATAAGTGTAATCATGCTAATGAGCAACGGAAGTTTTAAAATACATATTCAAGATTAAAGTGAGTGATACAGAGAGATCTAATAAAACAAAATTTCTATAATGAGTGGAACTTAATGCAAAGTAGTAGCTGAGTTGTTGACCGTAAGAAAATAAAGCGAATTTACGTTTTTAAATGGCAGGTGTTTGACCGGATTTCAATTTTGCTCAAAATGTGTATTTAAAATTGAAGAATGATATAAACTCCATATTCTTTAATATAGAATATTCGCTTCCTTTCTATAAACGAATTCAAAAGATTATTAATCATAAGTCATAACCCAAACTACTTGTCAAACCTAAATACATTAAAAATAGGTTGAAAACAAGAATGATGATCATAGCGGTATTTCGAAATGGTACGAATTTTCTGGAAATATGAAATATTAAAGTACGCATTAAAATTATAAATTTTCTTGAGTTTTAATATTTTTCTAGAATATGCAGCAATATTTGCATTTATTTGTAATCAGTATCCTTTGTCGGCATTAAATGATGTTGATAGGGCAGAGCTTAGCGTGCAAGGTGAGTGAAAAATATAAACAGAAAAAATATATAAGTTTTAAGAAGTAATGACAGATATATGTATAAGTGAGGTTACTTGAATGGTAAACGTCACAGAACAAAAAAATATGTAAAACTTGGTATACACTTCCATATATTACATACATATACATATAAAAATTTTATAAGAAATATTTATTTATTTTTCAATATTTTAAAAATATTATTTTTTTCTTTATTTTTAAAATAGTTTGTTATTTTCTTTTTTAAAATATTTTTCTTCAATTAAAAATATAAATATCTTTTTCTATAATTTTTATATTTATTTTTTGTCATTCTATATGAAGCTCTGAATGTTACACCTATAATAATAAAACACCTAATTTTTAATAATTAAATTGGATAAAACTCATTAATGCTAATAAAACGGTATTTCTTCAAATTATTGTGTTATTTTGTAACAAGTGTTAGTGTTACCACTGTGTCTGAGGTGTGTTAGTAAACTGCAAAAATGCTTTAGATTAGATACACTGTACATAATATTATTGATTTTGCTTGTTGTAAATATAATAAACAATTTTTAATACTACAATATAAAAAATATTAAAATTGATGATGTTTACACTTCTAATTTTGCTTAAATGAAGAAAAACTCGCGCAGCAAAGCTTGTGTTTATATGGTTTGTTGTTAAATAATGTACACGATTCATAGACATATTAATTGTACGATGTATAAATTAAAGAAATTTTTCATTATAATATTTAAAATATAATTATTTTTCTTATCATATTCAGTTTCTCCACCCATTTATATTTCAATATCTGTATACAACCAAATAAAAGATTTTGAAATGCCATTTTTGTTTTAATATATGTAGTATATAGTGATGTATATTCAAAATGCAGTGTATTACCTAAAACGGATATTTAAGTGGAAGAGAGACAAATAAGCGTCTGATGAAGGAAAAATTTGATATTTGTTTAATTGAACTTTTGTTTACAAGTTTGAGGCAGGGTGAAAAGCACGATGAATGGCAGAGTATAGATGTGGTTATTATTAAATTATGTCTGTTAAAAGCGTGAGCGTAATGGTTGTTTAGAAAATCACCAGATGAAAAAGTTTTTTAAGTATTTAAACAAAAAGTTTTTAGGTATTTTTAGTGAAATTTTTGTCATAAATGATCTCAAAGGAACTGACTAAAATTGCAATGTTCACAACAACTACTTTTTACAAACAGTTATAATTTTATAATAAATATAAATATAGGAAATATTATTTCTTTATATTCTTGGATTTATGTATAATACGACCGAACGAAGCACAAATTATCTAT